CCAAGGCCGACGTCAACGCGCAAGGCGGACACTACGGCAACGCGCTCCAGGCCGCATCTTCGGAGGGCCACGACAAGGTAGTGCAGCTGCTGCTGCTCGCAGGTGCAGTCGATAAGGTCGGAGAAGATGGAGACATAGAGGAGGAACAACATGACGCGCTCCTTCGTTTCCTTCGATACTAGAGTTGAACGCAAGCAAGCGCTGCTTTCGATTGCCCTGAATTACTCAAACCCACTTTTACCTAGCTTCGTATGTACCGCGTTCCTGTAACGTTGTTCCGGTCTAGTAATTTCCGATTGCTGCAGTCAGTCTTAATCTGTCTACTGTACAACGGATTTCCTCTGCTTTTTATTCACGGATTTCTCATCAAGATGGGTGGTCGAGTGGCATACAATATTATAGTCTTACATAATGAGTCCAGAAGCTTCTAGACATGCGGCTAGTCAAATTTACTGAAAGAGTTGCTTTGGTCGCTAACATGCGCCACATTAGCCACAGGCCGCATCCGTCACTATGTTCGCAACAACTGTGGCCGACAAGCAAGCCTAGCCACATTATGTGGCTGCTCTTTCATGTTGTCTCGGGACACAGTGCGTCTCGGGTCGCAGGGATGGACGTTACTTGCATGTGAAAGCGACTTCGATGTGTCTGAAAGAAATCGAACAACGATGCCCTGTTTCTGTACGATTGTGAATCCTGAGGATGATTGTTGGATTGCCCTCAGCCAGAAATCCGTGCAGAATGACATGAGCGACCACAGGATGGCCGATTGTGCAAATTCAGGCGTGTCGTGGTTGCGTGGGTGAATTTGCGATCTGTCACATTTCTCATTGGTCGATGGTCGGCTTGGTTTGGTCCTTGTGGCCACCGACTTGCCGATTGTTGACCTCCTGTCAATGTATCAAACAACTTGATATACTCGCCGAATCAACGTATGCATAATCATCACGCACTCATGCTCGAATGTGCTTGCCAAAATTGTATGTGATCGCACCTCCCGCTTTGGGCATGGCCCCACAGAACGTCTCGCGACGATCTCCGACGGGGTGCATCACGACGTCTCGGGTGGAGGGCACCGGAGTATGGTACTTGTATACGCGCCGAGAAGAGTGCGCCCAGTTCAAACCTTCTCCACTCGGGATGAGACAACAGGAAATGACTGACCGACGGAACTGTGCCGTTCTACACATAGACATCATGCGGCTCGAGTATTCCATGTCGTACAGTACACCCCACGGAACACATTGCATAGAAAGTGAGTTGTAAGCGCCCATCACATCATAATATACACATTCGTATGTATATTACCTCTTTCAGGTATGATTGAATGACCGCGGTCGCTATCCGTCTGATGATGATGAATTGGGCGGAGAAAAGGCAAGTGACGTTCGTGCCCGGCGCGTGCGACACGGGAGCTAAACACGTGAGATCTGCCGTGCGCACGTTCTCCATCACCTCGTCTGCCTCCCCTTTCCCTTTCTACCGTCTGATTCGTCACAGGATCATCCCTGATACTCGCACATTCCTCAAGAGTTTTCCGGCTCTGTACATATCAGCATGAAGCGTGGGGGTGCTGTCCCGCCATTCTGGGAGTATGGGGCGCAGACGTCCTCTCGTCGGTCGCATTTTAGGCGCTGAGATGCATGAACCAGCGGCCGGGTAAGGTTCATGGCGAGTAAAACAGCTATCAATGGCAACCAATCTAATCTGTGGCTGAGATCTCCTAGACATAATTTGTGATCAATGACTTCAAACTACCGAAGAAAGAGGCAGCTGCTTCTGCCACGCTTTTGGTTGTTTCCACAGCTATCAATGCCCAAGGAAGGGACTTGACCGAGATGTTTCGTTGTGCAACCTAGGCCGCTGGATCTTATGATGATTCTTCAAGGGAGAACCCTTGTCGCTGCTCTCCACGGGACCACTTCTGTAACAGCTTACAACATTGGCATGTGGAACGTATCCATCATCGCCGTGTGAATACCCCACGCTTTCTCATCTACAAATACAAGGTATCACTCCCAGAAAGGGAGGTGTCATTAAAATCTCGACATCAGAAGTGTCTGCAAGCTGAGTTCGGCTGTTCCGGAGTTTCACAGACAGATTTCTACCAGAAGGTGAATGTACTCAAATGTTGATCATTGCGAGCGGCTCTCTGCATACAGTGCACTCACCGGTGTGTGTCACCATCGTATACCTTCGAGGCAATTGGCAAATGCTCAGCCCTATGCATAATCGGCTTTTCAATGCCCTACCTTTTGGAGTACCGAACAAACGCCCAGTAATTTGGAATTATACTGTCGTCACTTTGGTGCTTCTCGAGATGTTCTCTATGGAGACAGGACCGGAATATAAATAGCGAGGCGTGGCGTCGATGTGTTGGTTGAATCTACCCCTGATGTTCATGTGGCAAGTGTGAAGACAAACACATTTGACTCTCACTGTTGTTTGCGCTCGTTCGGCGATTGTTCTGCGAAGGTCTTACCTCATTCTACAGCTGGAGTCACCTTTCTCTCTATCTCTCTCTATTCAGGCCTTAAACGACGCCACTGAAACCAGAATTCACTGGCAATCATGGCCTCGCGACTTGATCATCCGATCCCAATGGGATACATCCTGGATGAGCAGTATGAGCAAGAGTCTTCGTTCTCGGACTCAGATGGCCACTGGTCCGAGAACGACGCGTTCTCAAGCGAGAACTTCTGGAGATCGATTCCTTGGCCTATCGATCGATCAGGAGCATCTCTGTTCGAGACCTATAACCAGCAATATGAGGCCGGACCTCATAATGGCGTGTTCGACAATGTTGGACTCGCATCCTCCGTGCCCGTGCCTTATGGTATCAATTTTCAAGATCCTGTTGGCTTTCAGACGTACCATCTTCAAGACGGCAGCCAAAATTCACGGCTTCATACACCATCGATCGACTTTTCCGCACTTCCTACCAATGGTCATAGTAAGTTGCGTTGTCTGATAAAATAAGAGAGTCGAAACGCGACTAACAAAAGAACTTAGCATCGAGTCTTCAACCTCACGATATGCGGAGTGATCATGGCGCATACAACACCACACCTTACCAGCTAATGCCAAGGCATCCGGTGGCTCAGACAACCCAATCCAATCAACAGCCGTTCAACGTACTACTGTGGCAATCGCAGCTCAACACATTCAACAGCTCCGTCAAAACTGCGCAACCACGATACAACATCCAACGAGCCAACAGCACTGCCGGTCTCCATGCTCTCCAACCAAAGCCACCACAAAGCTCGCCTCCCCAGATCCCTTCACCATCTCCAGCCTCTCACCCCAGACGTCCCCGGCGCCATTCCCACTCTCCGACAACGTCAGGGTCATCATCCTCGTCTACCACCGCTCAATGCCAATACTGCAGCGTCATCTGTCGACGCGAAAGTGATCTCCGCCGCCACGTTGACGAAGTCCATTTACGGAAAAGATTCTATTGTAGCTTTATAGGATGCGGAGCTAGCTATCCTCGGGAAACAAAGATGAGGGCGCATTTACGAGCAAAACATCCTGGGCAGAGCTATGTTCGAGGGATGGGGGGCGGTTTCGAAGTTGCTCTTGGGAATTGAAAGATGCCAAAGGCAGAATGTAAATTTAAGGTCAAGATTGATACCATTGCGAATATACCAAATTGTTGCTATCTGGTTGAGATAATTCTTGCCCCCAACGTCTCCAACAAACCTCAAGGAGAGACGAGAAAGCTCACTGCCTCTTCGCAACATCCTCAAGCAGCGTACTCGCCGCAAGTTTCCCCAAATTGTTCGACGCAAGCGGCGAATCCCCCGTCAGAACGAATCGATCACGGTGCACTTCGCCCGTGATCCCCGAGTTGATCGGGGTAATCCCGAGCTTGCGGAGTTCCTCGCCCACCAACCACCGCATCTTCCCGGGGATATATCCAATATCGATGTTGGTGCCGGTGTCCAGGGAATCGGGGAACACGGCGACCTTGTAGCCCTCGTAGATGAATTTATCGCCTTCCGGCTTGCCCACGTTCGCGGCCAACATGCTCGCGGGACCGTGGCAGAGCGAGATGTAGTAGCGCTCGTGCGAGTCTGCCCAGCGGAGGATGTCACCGACGAGTTTGGAGAACGGGACATCGTTCAAGACGCCGTGACCGCCGGGGATAAAGACGCCGATGTACTCCGTGTCCTTGGTGAACCCGTTGCCCCAGACTTTGGAGAGATCGAGCGGCTGACGGAGTTTGGGCTTGTATTTTTGGTAAATGTCCTTGACAGCTTGGTCGTCTTTGGGGAAGGCCCACATTTCCATTTTGACGGGGTCGCCGGAGACGGTGGCGATGTCGATGTCGAAGCCTGCGGCATCGAGGTGGAGGAGTGGGAGGAGCAATTCAACCGGGTGGTTTCCGGTTGAGAAGAACTCATCTCCGGCCATTTGGAGGTAGCGCTCTTGAGTTGCGATCAGGAGGATTTTCCATTTTCCACCTTTGTAGGCGTTGGGGTAGTCGGCGCCATCGAAGTCAGTCTTGGGTGGCACGTATTGGGTCAGGGAGTAGGGGGAAGGGAACCAAGCATTGTCTTCAGCTTGGTCCGCTACGGGTTTGCGATCGGAATTGTCCGACATTGTTCGTGAAATTCAGATTATTATGACAGAAGTGGATATACAGAAGTGGTTATCTTGTGATCTGATCATTCGCTGGAGCAGGGCGTCGAGTATCTACCCATATATAACAGGACTTGAATGATGGCAGTGGGGCTCCCATCATGGTCCAAGAGCTCAAGCTGGAGCTCAAGCTCAAGCTCGAGAGACACCAGCTCGTGTGACGAATTGTCCTGCTCCTCTTGGGAAATGATGTCAGGTCTTGAAATACGAGCACGACAAGGTTGTGAAGGTTCGGACTAGAGCTCCGTAGAGGGGAGTCTTAGCTCAAGTGGATCCAATTACGCAGGGTCTAAAGTTTACATGGGCATGCATCGCGGCCAAATGTAGTGGAAACTCTCCGTTTGATTTGCCGAACACGTTCACAACGCCACACATCACTCCTCGAGTTCCGTTTCATAAAGGAGTGCCTCTTGCCGGTGATTGACTGTATCATGGCACGAATATGGACAGGATCGCAGCAGGAAACAATGCTGGAAAGTCATTGCAATGAAAGAAATGGATCGCTTTAAGCATAGTTTGCTAGCGCGGACTGCCCCGAGCTGAGAAGGATTTCCCATCCATTCCCTCCACTAGCGGCAATAGTCTGTGTACAAGTAAACACGGAGGCACCGAGCCCAGCAACGCAATAACATCATCACCTGTATCATCGGTCTTCCACCGCCCACCACAAGAGCGAAAACAATGAAATCGACCGACCGGCGTTCCGAGAAGACAAATTGAGGAATCGGTAGCGTTCACTCCTTTCACCATGCCCCGTCTCGTCCGACGCACGCCTTTGCTGGAACGAATCAAAGCCAACCTTGATTTTTACGACCTGTTTCTGTGGCTGTGGGAAGAGTTGAATGACGACGCATACGATGAGTGGATAAGGTTATGGGCGACTCCCGCTGGAATCGCTCTAAATCTCGTCTTCATTGCTGCTCGAGGCGCCAGCCGGCCTGGCGAAGGAAGTGGCATGGATGATGTGTTTGGCGATGTGGACGAACGGAAAGGGAGTGGGTGGATTGCTTGGTTTGTGAGTTGCGACACTCGATCCAAGATAGAGGAAGACGATGGATATACTGATCGGAAACAATACAGGCTACGTTCATCGTTCACTCTCTTTCGATCATATGTTGCCTGAATGCATACTATACCTTCACACGGAGACGACATTACCGTCTATTTGAACAAAACGTCGACGTTGCGCCTCCAACACCATCGGCGCATCGAGTCCGAGTAGACAGCTCTCCTGTTACATCTTCGCCACTGCGGTACTTCCAGAACGTAATCGCTTCAACTCGCGCGGCTTCGCGAGCTCATGCCGATCCCGAGCGCGAAGTCTGGGAGCTGCGCATTTGGGACCCCAAGCCGATCTGCTTGACGATCTTCACACTCTTTTCACCAGGTCACTTACTACTTTACTACACCATGCTTCCTACTGCAACCCTGGATCCACGACCATCTTTGACAATCGTCAAAGCTATGTTTTTCGGTGTGCTCCTCTCCTTCCAATTGGGATTGATGAAGACGAACTTTAGCCAACAGGCAAAGGATACAACTCTGCTGCAGAGTCAGGTCATGAACGAGTACGATGTCAAATTCGTCCGTCCAGCGCTGAACCACACAGTGCGCGATGTCGGATGCCAAACTCGTGAGAGTGCAACTTCACCTCGAGGACATCGCACTCGCGAGGTGGATATATACATGCCCACCACCATCATCAAACGCGCCTTTACCACCAATCCGAACTCTAACTATGCGCGACACTATGACCCGGACAATTTATTGGGAATTTCTGTTCAGCAACATCACACTCGCACTTCAGGCAACAGCCTCACTCCTCCTTCGATCCTGAAAACACCTGCAGCCAGTGGCTACTCGCACGCAGAGACACAATCGGCATATTCGACACACAGCAACGCTGGGGCGGATTTTTCATCACCGCTCAAAGCACATCATGAGAAGTTGAGGGAACGTGTTCCGGCAAGAGGAGATGGTGGAAGCCTGGGCGTATATACTCACCCTGCGAGTCCATTAAAGAGAACGGTTGGCAGTTCTCAAGCAAGGGTTGCTGGACGCACAAGTACGCCGGGAGAAGGACGCAGTAGCTTTGCTGATGGCGTGAGACGGCGAGATACGGGACGTTACTGAAGCGGCATCAGCACAAAGCCTATTCAGTTGCATTTAATCACTCTCGGAAGAAAGAGAGAGAGGTCTTTGACTGAGGTCACAGCATCATTATCGAGACAGCTCATAGCTCTTCTCCCGTGGGCCCAATCTCCACAATCTGGTCCGCTCCCTTGTACGGCGGCAGATCGAACCCATACTTCTCCGCAATCTCCTTTCCGACAAACCTCCCGCCGACAAAATGTCTCCCACGGAAGAACTTAACCAACGGCTTCGGCGCGGTCAACGAGATCAGCGCAGTAGGCTGATAATCCTTCCCAACGCCCTCACCCGGCGGCCCATCCTCGATATTCCAACTCGACGGCGCATCCACCGCCAACACAGGTAGCTTCGTCTCCGCCAACGCCCGAATCACCGCCGGAAACGGCTCCCTCACCTCACCCGAGAAACTAAACCCGAAGATCGCATCGACCACACAATCCGCCTCGCCCAACGCCCGCGGGAAGTCCTGCACAAATGAAACGCGCAACTGCTCTAGCTGTGCCCGCAGCGCAGAGTAGTGCTCGTGTTTGCCTTGTTTCGGGTAGTAACATGTCGGCGCGTAGCCGAAGTGCACCAGATGACGCGCTGCGACGAGACCGTCGCCGCCGTTGTTGCCGGGCCCGCAGGCGATGAGTACACGCGGCGTTGTGCTTGGTGGAGAGAGTGTGTGTAGGGCTTGGGCGACGGCGAGGCCGGCGAGTTCCATTAGTTGCGAGAGGGTGAAGGCGCCGGTTGACATGAGCTCTTCATCGAGCGCGGCGGCGGCTTTGGGGCCGAGGGTGCGGAGGGCCATGTTTGAGTGATGGTGATGTGGTGGAAATTTCTTAATCTCTGTCTTCTTTGAGGAGAGGATGGTTTTGTGCAGTATCCCTATTGCATGTATATGAATGATTACTCGATTGTGTCATCAATGTTTACTACTGTATTGAAACGAAGCTCGGGCTATGACGTGCATCTGGTCTTTCCCGAAGACGTTGGCTTCAGTGTGTTCGATTTACTCTAAGACCGCACACAACGTTTACCGATCGATCAGCTGCTAGAATATTTATTCTGTATGGACATTTCAGTATAGACATTCCGCCAAGCCACATCTACGCACATCGTGTTATCCGGGCAAGAGAATGAGGCTCCAAATGCCCCGCGAGTTCATCATCGTGTGCATCGATGCGGCGGACCCCCGGAGGTGAGATCCGGATTACTCATCATGACATCGTTGTTGAGCTGTGATACAGTACGATCAGCGGGGTTGGCATTGCACAGTGAAAGCGATTACATATCGAAAGATACCTGTGGATGGACATAAAGGGATCCGCTTAGCCTAGATATATTGTCCTGTGGCGGACATCATACTTCATCCTCGAGGTGTGCTCTACAAGTCCAACTTGATCAAGACATTCACGACATCACTTCCTGCTTCGTCTTCCTTTCATAGTGCATCACGATCCAGAATTGACGCGTTACGTGTATCACGTCTCCAAATTCAACGATCATATACCATGGCGTCCAAACTCCCTTTTGAGGTGACTATTTCTCCAAGACGATTCGATCAGAACATTACACTGAAGCGCGACATCACAGCTTAACAATCCTAAAATCTTCCACGACAAGGCCTTAGTAGGAGGCGAATTCGTTGAAGCCAAATCCGGCAAACGCTTCGATGTCTACGGTAAGCATCTCAACATAGACCAGACGAAAATCAAGAGTCTCCTGGCAGATCACGCTGATAACCACCGCCTCGCCTTCAAGACCCCGGCAGCGGCAAGGTCTGGGCCACAGCACCTGCCATGGGTCCCGAGGACGTCGACGATGCCATCAAGAAAGCCGCCGAAGCCTTCGAATCCTACCGCAAAGTCAACCCGCGCCAGCGCGCCAAATGGATGCTGAAGTGGGACCAGTTGATCCGTGACAATTTCGACGACATCGCCAAGATCGTGACGTATGAATGCGGGAAACCACTCAAGGAGGCGCAGGGCGAATTGGAGTATTCGTTGGGTTTCACCTGGTGGTTTGCAGGCGAAGCTGAGAGAGTCCAGGGAACGGTCCAGGTTCCGGCTGCGCCTAATCGGAGAGTCTTCACGGTTAAACAGCCCATCGGCGTGGCTGTTGCCTTAGTCCCATGGAACTTCCCCGTCGCAATGATCCTGCGGAAGGTCAGCGCTGCGTTGGCAGCGGGCTGTCCGATGGTCGTCAAGCCGTCTCCAGAGACGCCATTTTCGGTCTCGGCTTTGGCGTATCTGGCCCAGGAGGCGGGATTTCCAAAGGGTGTGTTTAGCGTCCTGCCGACGAGTATGGAGAATACTCCCGCCCTGAGCGAGGCCCTATGCCGGCACGAACTTGTGAAGAAAGTCACTTTCACAGGTAGCACCCGGGTGGGCAAGCTGGTGGCCAAAATCTGCGCCGATGGCTTGAAGAAGGTCACACTCGAGCTCGGCGGCAATTGCCCATTCATCATCTTTGACGATGCAGATCTCGACTACGCTGCCGAACGTACGTTGCTGTCCCCTCTCCATCTGCTGCTAAGAGTTTCCTCAAACTAACAAATCGCCACAGAACTCATGGCCCTCAAATACCGCCACGCCGGCCAAGCCTGCATCTCCGCCAACCGCGTCTTCGTGCAAAAAGGAATCTACTCCAAATTCGCCGAAGTCCTCGCCGCCAAAACCCGCGCTCTCAAAGTCGGCCACGGCGCCTCCCCAGACACCACGATGGGTCCCGTGACCGCGCTCCGCGCCCTCGACAACGCCGAAGCACAAGTCGCCGACGCCCTCTCCCACGGCGGCAAAGTCGTCGCCGGCGGGAAACGTCTCCAGAACACCCCCGGCTATGACGGAGGCTACTTCTTCGAACCCACCCTCATCACGGGCGGCACGGATCAGATGTTGATCGCGCGCGAGGAGACTTTCGCGCCGGTTCTGGGACTGTTCGAATTCGAGACGGAGGAGGAAGTCGTGCGGCGCGCGAATGACACGAGCATGGGCCTGGCGAGCTATTTCTTCACCAAGGATGTGGATCGCACGTGGCGGCTGTTGGAGAACCTGGAGGCAGGGATGATCGGTGAGATGCTCATGTTTCCCTTGTCGTTTTCCTCTCCCCGAATGCGGGTTTGGGGTTCTTCTCGCTGTTCATTTTGCTGACAATGATCTCTTTATTTATTCACTAGGAATGAACACGGGTAATCAATCTGCTGCCGAAGCCCCTTTTGGCGGGATCAAGGAATCCGGATATGGAAAGGAGTCCGGCAAGGATGTTGCGATCAACGAATATTTGGTAAGTTATACCAGTGAATGTGTTTATGCTGCCCTTCGTGTTGGATCTGCCCTGCTGACCACTTTCATCTTTTTGCAAAACAGATCACCAAGACGGGCACGTTGACTTTGAAGGATCACTATTGAGATGTTGAGAATCAGAGAGGATAAGGCTCGGGGAGGAAAGAATCGGCGTTGAGGTAATCGTTCGGAGATTTCATAGATAAAGCATACATCGGCGGCGGCTGAATAGCCAGCTAGCTCATGAGCAGATCTTGTGCGTGTATATATTTTCATCATCGGTTAAGGAAGTTTCAAACCACAGGACTATAATCCTCACATTCGTGTTCCGGATATCTACACTAGTCGTTCGTCCGTCTGCTCACAGATCGCCTTCATCGTAGACACGTTTTCATGAATACATATCCAATAGTTGGAAGCGAGATCACCCCCAGAAAGATCCAAAGCACAGCCAAACACCTCCTCCATCTCGGGAGCCTCCCCCAAAAAGTAAATCATCAGAAGCATCATCTTTCCCAAAAAAATCTAAAACCCCTCCAAAGGTAGAATCGAATCGAATAGCAACGCAAAGCAACGCAACGCAACCCCCATAAAATCAAAGATCCTTCATCAACCGCGACACGGGCGGGACGTACGTATGTCTCGCGGAGACGAGATACCAGCCCGCCGCGAGGATGCCGACGCCGCCGTAGACCGCGCTCGCCCAGTTCATATGGTTGGCGTCGGGGTTATTCCTCAGGGGGAAGAAGGCGAAGACGAAGGCGAGGCCGATGTAGGCGAGGCCGACGGAGTTGCACAGGATGCCGAAGGTCTTGCCCAGGCTCCAGCGGCGCGGGAGCAGCTCCTCGCCGCGGAGGCGCTTGATCAGGATGCAGGACATGGAGGTCAGGTAGGAGGTCAGCAGGGCGACGACGCCGATGGAGAGGATCGCGTTGAAGGCGTTCGCGCTGCCCAGGTTGATCAGGCTGAGCAGCGAGGTGATGCAGAAGCTCACGCACACCGCGTTCACCGGGATGTCCCAGCCCGGCCGCACGTAGGCGAGGTAGCGGTCGAAGGGGAGGCCGTGGTCGCGGGCGAAGGCGAACATCTGGCGGGAGGCGGTGGCGACGTTGGAGATGGCGCTGCACAGGCTGAGGACGGTGATGATGGCCGTCATGATGGTCGCGCCGGCTTTGCTGCCGGTGGCGTTGTAGAAGGTGCCGATGAAGGCGAAGCCGGTCGGGGGGTTGCGCGCGACGTCGAGGGGCCCGATGCAGTAGGCGAACGATATCACCATGATGAGGCCGGTCAGGCCGTTGAAGATGAGGGTGGATACCATGGCCCATGGGATGGTGCGGGACGCATCTTTGACTTCTTCGGCTGGGAGGGGGGTCAGCAGAGATTCAGAGGTGGAGACCGCGCGTGAGCAGAAGGGATTCCCGGTGGCTTACCCATGTGGACGCAAGAGTCGGGGCCGATCAATGCATAGATGGAGCTGCTGAGACCGACCAGGCATGCGAGCCCAATAGAGGACCAGGTCCCGCCGGGGTTCTCAGGGTCCTCCAGTTGAGAGAAGTTTGTCCAAACGTCCAAGCTGGAGTTGCGAGGAGCAAACACCCACAACGGGATCAGGATGGCGAAGAAACCGCAGACGTGCAAAACGAGCACGAGTCCCTCCACCAAGGGGAGTTTGCGAGCAAAGAAGCTGTTGAAGACGACGGCGACGGTGACCACGGCGATGGTGAGCAGCACGACGTGCCACTCTCTGAAATCATTTTCCATGTACTGTTCGTTGTTGAGCGCGATCATCCCGATGATCTGAAAAGCGACAGTCGTGCACTGTCCCGCGATCCCAGCTTGCCAGCCGAGGACACAATACCAGCCTGTCGGTGGAAGCGTCAATGATCATGTTCTGGTGAGGCTGCAACGTGGGCAGAAACTTACCAACGATGTAACTCATGATCTTCTGATACGACTTGGGGGCGAATTCAGAGACCCAGTGATATTGACCTGGCGCAACATTAGCAAATACATCCGACCACCGGGGAAAACCTTGAAACACACCTCCAGACGTCGGCGCCATAGACGCCATCTCAGCCATCGCAAGAATGGCCGCGCCGAAACCGAAAAAGGTAACGATGTACATCCAGACCATACCCGCCAGACCACCATTGATGATGACATAACTGGCAGAGTTGAAGACCGCCTCCCAGGTAATCATCAGGACGGCGGCAAAGCCGAAGATGGGGATGAAGCTGAAGTTTCGGCGCATCTCCTGGACCTTGCCCATGCGGGCCATGTCGCGGCGGTCGAGCGCGGTCCCGGCCTTCTCGGGGGGGAGGTCGGTGACGTCGAAGTCATCGTTCATGGTGACGGTGGAGCCCTCGAGCTTGCCGTGGTCGGAGTAGAAGGATGTCGCCATGATGGGCGATGGTGGAGAGGATCAGAGATAGATCGGAGGGAGGGAGACGACGGCGAGGTGAGTGGCACGTCGTCAATGCCTTGTGCCGAACTCGCGGGGCGCTCTCTCACACGCGATGGGCGTAGAGGTTTAGAGACGGGGAAAGATAATAATAACAGTATGTATGTCGAGGCTGGACGATGGTCGTTGTCGGTGCCGGTGTCCGTCACACACGATGGGGTGTTTGGCACGACCAACGGGCGACGGGCGAGGAATGGGCGAAACGGCCAATGTCCGCGCGCGTGAAGGACAACCGCGATAGCCTGCCACGAGTCTCACAAGCGACAACGGCGGGTGAGAGCAGCGAGCAAACAAAGTGTCGATCTGATGCAAGGCCGAGGAGGGAGGAGATGCAGACGGGGGAAAAGAATGATCGAAACGTCCTGCGCTGGCGTTCTTGTTCTATTCCACGCCGATTCCACGTGGAAGGAACGAGAGAGGGAAAGTAGCAGCAGCAGTAGTGGTGAAAGGTGCAGCATGCCTTGGCGGACCGATTGAATGGTTCGGAAGGGGGAGGGAGATAGGTGGCAGCGAACAGGTCGCGCGAGTGGGACTGTCGCGGTGGTGGCTGTAGCGGATGGTACAGTGCTAACACCAACGATCGAGGAGGAAACTTATCGCCAATGCATGCGAAGCTTTTTCTCGACTCCGCTCGGAGGGTCGCGCAAGGAAATCAAGCGTGGCACTAGAGGGATCGATGGACACCTGCAGCTCTGTTCTGCTACATGTAAATCGGATACATCCTGTGACCTGCGGAAGCGACGGGAGCAATTGGCCGCCGATGATGATGATGATGGGAATGAGAATGTGACAGCACTCGTCGAAGGGATTTCGGGGTTCGGATCCACTCTAGAAGATCAGATAGAAAACAACGTGGGAGCGCAGGCTTCCATCCCCGGAGAATAAGCGAGACTGGGAAGGGATTGACAAAAGGGGATTGTCCACCACAGACGATCTGTTATGCTATGCACGAGAGATGTTACGATGTATGGGAGCGGGGAAGGAATCTCTGGGTATTGGCCGACGCCACTGTCCTGACAATCATCATGGTTGATTATTGGTTATCGGTGGGAGTCCGAAGGAGCAACGATATGAGAGGTCACAACCAAGCGGATTCGTAATGATAATGACAAGGTTAGATCTGTCCACCATCATTTCAGACGCAGGGATCACAGTAGCATTTGGGCGGAGGGGAAGATCTTCGGTGGTGGCTGCTTGCGGAGGCGAGCGGTGGCGTTGAGGGTTCAGAAATTGAGGGAAAATCTCCCTCGCAGATTGTTGCGCCCACAGGACACGAGCGAGGCTGGCAGGCCGGCCGGAGAAGCTTTGATGGTAGCAACAATAATCTTCTGACCACCGGAACTTCGGCGCTGGAGTGTGTACGGCCACACCATTCTCGCAGGCTAATGACTCGTCCGCCGGATGACAGTGACGGCGCATTGGCCCACAGTGGCATCATTTACGGCTATCGCCCACCAAGGACATGCGCGTCCAGTTCTCGAAGCATGTCTGATGCGCATGTTGTTCTCATGTGCGTCGGAACACAAGGCTCTTGCCCAGAGATGATGTTTGTGTGCACGCATGTCTATGTTATTGCCAAGAGATGGCATGCCCTGCGGACGTCTCTAGATGCGCGCACCGACGACGCTGAGGTTGAAATATGGTACATGCGCGACGAAGGATGGAAAATGCGGGAAGCGAAATGAGGAGGAGAAAGAACTCGGGCGTCGACGATACAACGATACGAGGTGAGAAAATGATCAATGTCCAGGTGTTGTCGGAAGATGGTTGCTGCGCGGTGGTGTGTGGTGGTGTGTGGTGGTGTGGTGGAACAACGGGACAATCCATCATCCATGGCAAGCAATGTGGACACGACGGGAAAATCAGACGGCTCCACTAGTCTTCTTCCGGGTGGATCCCGTCCTGTGTCATTGTTATGTACATAGTACTGGACAAAATGTTCGTCAGCCCTTGTTGTCTTGCCTCCCGAGTCAAGACCCTTGTTAGATCAACCGACATCTTCTGGCGAAAAGAGGGCCATAGGGTTTGGAACTATTTTCTGACATGTCAGATCTTACAGCCGATCAATGGCGAGTAATGGGAATGGCCCGTCGAACAAAGTCATATGTTTCCAAACCCACACATCTGAGTTGGCGACTAGACGGACTGCATTTCTTCGTCGGAAGAGAGGTTTTCCATGCAAGGGATCATAGGGAAAGGCAAGCAGTGAAGCCGCAGTAGCCTTGTACAACCAGTCAAACCACTTCTGCGACGAGTTGCGACGGGACGGGAACTCTGTCATGTCCAACAGGTACGAGAGCGAATGCGGAGTCTTTTGAGTTTCATCATGTATTCGATACACTAACTAGCCCTTCTTCGGCCACATTGGTGAGGCTCTCAAGGTAGGTAGCATGCTCTCCTGCCTCAAGCAAATGTCGTCCGCGTCGCACTTATGCAATGCAGAAACCGGGCACCGTCTATCGTGCTTCAACCATCGTGTAGAGCCGCAGGAACAATGCATGGAAGGTAGCTTATGTGATCAGTCGCTGATGAGGAGGGAAAGGGATTCATACGGTATCTATTTCTTTCTCGGAGCACAAAGGGCGCGCAACGTGGGTGCGGCATGATTGGCTCTAGGTACATATACTTTGACAGAGATATGGCGTGATCCGATTGTGAGGGGATCTACAGTCCAGCACACAGGACAGGCATGAGAAGCATTGTATGATTTTCTCATGCCCGTCCGTGATTCTGGGCACCCACGCCACAATTGGATCGTCTTCAATCACGACATCCTCGCGAGGTTCCACCTTCCCCCGCCGCATAGACGGGGATGAACCTCCGCTGATTACTCGCACTGACGAGGGTTGGGGAGGAAATGCCGGAGCGTCTCCCTGAAGAAGAATGATATGCTGCAGAGAAGGGTTATTCGCGGGCGTGGGTTGCGATTTCGGCCGCATGGGACTACTGCATGCACGACGATGTCTGCTGCAGCTGCATTGATAACACGTTGGAGGACGGAATATCGACGAAGGTCTCTCTGGAGTTTTACAGACCAATCACCGGACCGTGAACTTCGGCATGGATATGCGAGAATGGTCGTTTTCAGGCTCTCTCGTCAAGGGAAATGATGACGTTCACCATTCACATTCTCCCCCTTCTGCACGTCGACCTAAACGTTCGAGAATCCAAACTCTATGTTGGCGGTGCGGGTCGCGCGCGACGCGCAACATAGGACTCGCATCCACTCACCTTATCATTTGCACGTCCGCTCTGAGCTACAGAACTCTCGGTACCTGCGTCAGGAATCACGAGTAGGCGAGATATTTGTCATTGACGTGAGAGAAAATTGTTCGACGTGCATGCATGTTGTTTGGAGCAAACCCAACACTATCGTGCATCCACCTCGGAGCGAGGAAGAACATCCCTGTCGTCACCCATGGGACCTCGCTGTGGAACCGTCTCTTCAACCCATGGGCCAAGACGATGTCGATTCGGCTGCTGTACCACGGAAGAGACAATGGGCCATGACAGATGCGCAACATGAATAGACCCGTGGTCGAGGGAGTGGATGGGCCGAGAAGTGCCACAGCGCTGGTCGAGACGATGACCTCGCATCGCCATCGAGAAGCTATGGATGTCGATTGGGCCGGGTGTTCGTGAGGATATATCTGTCAATATCCTCGGGCATGCAGAATCTCGAGATCCCAACCCGCATGACAGCGCTGGAGACGCCACCATCTTGCTCGCAAAAAGCGGAGGAATAACTGTATACTATACCTAGGTATGTAGAGATGTAGAGATGGAGCAGGGCAGGGCAGGTGAGAGATCTGCGGGCGCGGAACCAGACCACGATTGCAGCACCTGTGGCGTTTCTTTTCCCGCGCATCTCACCCCAAATTTCTGCACAATCCTGCAGTGTGATATCCATGCATTGGGGAATGTGTCGTGCCATGTACAGGTACCCGCGGGACCATTCCATCTCCAGTAGCGGGCAGAGGTGGAGGTCTCCAATATCATCGACCAGATCCCTGGGAGAGTGTGTTTCACTTGAGCTGTCACCCTGCTGTAATGCCATCGGAAACTCCGCCCTCGAACCCATGCATCTGGCTCTGTTCGGAGAGAAACACACACTAGGAGCTGCTCGAGACTGGGGCTTCTATCTATCCTCCGAGACATGAGGAGGATCCACGCATGTGAATATGCCGGGGACAAACAACACTGCGGGTAGAGTTGTAGTGCTGTATCTCACTTTTCAGCGCTGTCCTCGCTGTATCGTGGACAGACACAACCGTGGGACCCGCGCTTGGAAAGGCAGCCCACCTGGGCACTAGTAATCATACCGTTTCGCTACGTTTTGTACCTGCACAGCACACCGTAAGTACGTGCGTGCGTGAGGGAGACGGAGGAGGTGCACGGAGGGATCCGCGTCCCCCGCTGCTGCACGTACACACACGCAACGCGCGCAACCACGGGATCCTCCTCTCTCCGCCGTTCGTTCATATTGGGAGAAAAACATGGGACTCGCCCTGTCCTCTGCTTTTCCCACGATGGAGTTGTTAATGCACACGACATGCTTGATCTCGCAGCTGCAGGCTTCCGGTTTCCCCTCAGCATTTCCTCGCGTGATATGCGCAACGTCTGCTCCTTATCACCTTGCAGCAGCAGCAGCAGAACTTTCCTCAATCGCCCGTCGACCCAGTCTGAGACGGTGGATGATGGGTAACAAGTGTGCAATTCTAGCCGTGATGATGCATCTGCATGTCTCGCATCCACGCCAGAGCCGCGTGCGTGTGCGTGCGATGGGATTGAGATGCCTGGGGAGAGGAGGAGGAATGGGAGACCGTTGGTAGATTCCTCCGACAGGCTGCACGTTGCTACCGCTGCCGTTCATCAACTCAACGGTTTCGGGCTCCCGAATTATCCTGTATGGAAAGTGTAATTTCTTCATGGTTTCCACAGAGGACAGTCGGATTCGGATGGAGAGGTTCGGGACGTATCGTGGAAATCGCTGTTGGGCAATATACACGCCGTAGCCGATCATTGAGATGAATGACCTTGACCGAGGAATCGTGGAGTTTCGTACGGCATGTAGTCTTGTCTGGTATTTCCTGCTGCTCCCGCTCCCACTCCTCACTTTTCGCGAAGATCGTCAGAGTTGTCGTCTGCCGTGGTACTCGTTTCGCTTGTACTGTACTGTACTGCACTGTACAGTCACCCAGTCCTGCCTGCGTGCCCGCGCGCGTGTGTGCGTGTGTGTGTCCCTGCATTGCCATTGTTCTTTCTTGCTGGCACGAACCTCGGGAATCAGAATCACCTTCTCCCAACAATCAGGACCAGGACCAGGACCGATTGTCTCGCATTCGCTATCATCAGCGTACAACAGTGAAAATTGACTGGCGTCTCGTGCACTACTGCGCTTCAGCCTGACTTTACATACATCAAGCAAGCCTTTCCCGTCCCTTCCCTTCCCCAGGGAATCCATCCCGTGGCGCGCTGTCTTTTTCCGCCTCTCCCGCCGCCATCGCCGTCGCCGAGCCATCAGCAGCATATCACATCGCATCGCCCGCGGCCAACACTTTCCCGTCTCTGGGCTTTGTGCTTGTTCGTCACCAGTCTTTCAACCCTGTCCCGTCTCTTCTGTCACGGGCGAAAAGTGCCGGCTGGGCGTTCGAAGGACCTGCGCTTTTTCGCGACACCACGTCTGACCACACACAGCCCCGAGCGCATTGGATTTGCAGCCCTCTTTCCCTTTCCGACCCTGTGGTGGTGAGGAATTCTGGTCGTATGGACTGTAGCCCGATCCTACTCTCCTCCATCTCAGCTGCGCATACATAGCTTTGCAAGCCTCTGCCGTCGTCGCCGACTACCGTAGACACGCCGGACCTGCTCTCTGTCAATCTGTCTATCTGTAGGGTCTATTCGGGCTGCGATCTACGTGCGAACCGAAAAGCCCCACGGCCTTGCTTACATACCTACCTTCGCTCAGCTCCCACCCTTTCAGTACGGCGCGAAACCTTGGGAACTCTTGGGACGGAACCGGGTGGACACGACGACCACGACGACCACGACGACAAATCTCCGGCTTGTCGACTCTCTATCAGCTGCTCGCAGACTATACCGGTGCCGCCAATCGCGCGCAGCTTCTCGGCTGTTAAATCCTGTGCGCACCAGCGAGGCGAGCTGAGAGTGAGGTGCAATAGCGTACGACACACCTTCCATCGCACAGCGCGCGCGGCGCAGCGCGAGTGAGCGAGCGAGCGAACAGCGCATTTTTCGCGGGAATTCACTCCTCGTCGACCTTGAACCTCGCGCCACCGTCGGGCAACAGCCAGCAGCCACCCATATTCCTCACGATGGCCGACTCATCATCAGCGCCGATGTACGTCGAGGGTCCACGTACCTTCGTCACCACGGACCAGGATCACGGCGGAGTCGCACTGGTGATTTGTACGCTCATGGCGACCTGGTCCGTCCTCTGCTGGATCGTGCGAGTCTACATGCGGGCGACGGTCAGCGCGCCGTTTGGGGTGGATGATTTGGTTTTCACGATTGCGACGGTATGTTGAGGCAGGCTTTCTTTGGGTTCTGCGAATTCTTGCGCACGCCTCGTTCTTTGGAATCTGTGCCCTGCGAATCGTGGCGTTCTCATCTGGTTATGATGGAAATGCAGCGTCGGTCTCCCACTCCTGGCCGAAACAGGATGAAGTGGTGGTCGCTACCTGGCGGAGAATGCGAAAGGTCACTCGAGGGCACTATGGTGCGTGAAGAAGAAACGTTCGCTGACTGATGATTTCACTTCCAGATCTTTGGAATCATACAAATGATCGTGTCATGTGTCGCCATTTCGTACGGATTCGGAAAATCCACCGTTCTGCTGAGCGCGGATCAGGTTGTCAATGCGGAAAAGGTGAGAGCATTCAATATCCCTCGAGATCCTCCCATATGAGTCGCAGCTGATCCTCTCCATCAGGCGTTATATGCTGCGCAATTACTCTACATTGTCACGAATGCGCTCGCCAAAGCCACAGTAGCGTTGCTGTTGGCTCGAATCGTCTTCATCAAGAGCCGAGTGCTGGCTTGTTATTGCGTCCTCGCTGCCGCCGTGCTCTGGGGTCTGGGTTCTTTCTTGACTGTCGCCATTCGTTGCACCGACCACCCTCCTTGGCAAATCATTGGCAATGATCAGTGTCCCAGTCTGGTGAGTGTGCCCTCATGAATGGTCGGCAACATAAAAGAAATACTAATTCTGATCTCCTTCAGCTCACCGAATGGAAACTCGTCGTGGCGTTCAACGTCATCATCGAGCTCGCTCTGTTTGCCTTGCCGGTCTGGTTGGTATGGGGTTTACAAACCAGCTTAAGGCGAAAGGTCACTGTGGTCTCCGTTTTCGGACTGCGACTCCCGTACGTTAAGATCCCTTCTCTCGCCGTCATCCAGAGACAGCTTCCATTTCTAACTTACGGATCTGACAGTGTCATCGCCGCCGCCATTGCTCGAATCTACTTCCTCAACCGCGCCGGTCACACCGATCAACCTCTCCTCACCGGCGTGCCGTCATTCATCTGCCTCAACATCGAAATGCACTACGCCGTCATGTCCGCCACCTTCCCAACGCTCAAACCCTTCGTAGCGGCCTTCAACACCAGCTGGGGCACCTACGACTCCCAAGGCATCAGCGGCTACGGCAGCCACCCATCCCCGTCATCATCTTACGCCATGAACTCCCTCCCTAAGCACGGCACGCCCCGCGCCCACTCCAAACAACAACCCGCCACCAACGCCTCCAAATCCCGCTCCAGCAAGATCCGCTCCGCAATGACCAGCAGCAACCACAGCGCCAGCGCGACCCGCTCCGCCGACCGCGAATCCATGGCCAGCAGCGACCGGCGCCTGCGCTACGGCAAGAACGTCACCTCCATCCGCAGCAACAACGTCGTCCCCTCCAAATCCGCCTCGACCTCCCCCATCGACATCCTCGTCGGCCGAAGCAACTCCCACTCCAGCCAGGACTCCAACCAGATGATCATTCGCCAGACCATGACGTGCGAGGTGCATTACGAAGAGGAGGATCTCAGTCTACCACGGATGGGCTCGACGGCGCAGGACAACGACTCGATCGATTTCGCCTCGCCGGATGTCCTCGCGAAGAGGCAGGGCTGGTGAATGAAGAGCTTGTGATGATTCCTCGGATTGGGGAGAATTTCTGACCCGCGATGTGTCCGTCGCGACACGCGGACTTGTGTCTTCCCTTCCCTCGAGGTTTTCTCTCAATTTCAAGAACATGTGGTGCTCGCCGGCAGCACACACGCGCCAACACACTTCAACTGGGATGGAGGTCGACTACTACGAGCGGTACCATCATCCCTGCCCGACCATTCCACAGGGAGACCTCGGCGCCATGGCCACAGCGGCCCGCGAGAACGATCCAGCATCCTCCGATTTCCCGCCGTCAACCGGAGAATCCGGCGAACCGCCCCAAGTGAGCATCGCGGGAGAAGCGGAAGCCACCGATGAGTTTTCCGCTCGACGCAGAAGACCCGCCGTTCCACCCCCGCCTCATCCACGAAACGGAGTCGGAACGCCGGCGCTGCTTTATACCACCTCCCACCTGTGCTGCGGACCACCAGCCCGGACACATCCGAGCGGCCTTTCTCCACCAGGAACCACGCACGCACGCGCGCGCTTCCCTCCTCGCGGGGAAAATCGAACAAGAAATGTGATGACGCGGGGAAACATGTCCGGTCTCGTCCCCGCGTACACGAAACCTCCCCAGTGGCCAGTGGCGAGTCCCTAACGACGAGGGCGTGGGAAAACGAACCCGCTTGAACATGCGGACGGATGAGGGCAGATTCGGCGACCCGCTGCTGCAGTGCCGTCATCGCTACGATTGCGTAAATGATTTTTTTATCCTCCGTTTGGATTCGCTTATGGGCACCTTTTTATAAATCTTGTTGGTCACGATACCCGATATTTTGATGATGATGGAAATTTCGCTGGAGACGACGGAATATATATACATATATGTGGGAAGAAGGGAAGAACGAAAGGATGGAAGGTTGGAGAGATCTAGGCTCTCACCGAGGTGTGAATAGATCTGTTTTGATCGGCATCTAGTTTGATGATATGGATGTCCTCTTCGCTTTCATACAGGAATTCCTCCCGAATGTGATAACAAGGGCTTGGAGCAATTTCCTTCTCGGATACTCCTTGTTCCTCCTCCCGCCTCCTCCTCTCATATCGAGGTTCTTCAGTTCTTTTTCTCGCTCTTCCCGGCGCGCCGTTTCCTCAATCCATCTCCATCGCGTCGTCGTCGCGGTCGTCGTCGTTGACATTCTCATGCCCGAGGCCATCATTGCCTCTCCCGTCGGCGAGAACCTCCCTCTGATCATCCCTCCTCATCTCCCCGTAGCCCTCACAGCCATACCCATGCGCCGTCTCGACATCAACATCCTCATCCCCCTCGTCATCCAGCATCTTCCTCCCTCCCCCGCCATCGTACATGCAGTCCATCTCCCGCTGCCGCCGCGTCGCTTCCAGCAGGGCCTTCTCCCGCGCGCGCTGCCTCGCCTCGAGGATCGCCTTGCGGGTCTCGCGGGAGCCACGTTCGCCCTGGGTGAGCAGGGCCGGGGCCGTGTTGTACAGGACGAGCTCCTGCTGTGAGGGAGGTCGGGGGTTCGGGTTGGGGTTGAAGCGCAGGACTTCGGCCGGGATTTGGTGGAAGTGGCGTTCGATGTCCGGCAGGAAGATCAGCCGCGAGGAGGCTTCCCGTGCGGCGTCGGAGGCGGCGATGGAGGCGAGCTCGTGGTCGAGGTTGGAGATGTATATCCGGTGGCGCGAGTCGTCGAGCGACATCGCCTCCGCGGAGGATGAGCCATCTTGGGTGGTTTGTGAGGGTGGCGGGGTCGTGGAGATCGGGATGTAGTAGTTGCTGTTGCTGTGGGCTTGGGCATTGGCTTCTGTGGAGAGGAGAGGATCGCGGTTAGTTTCTTGTCGTTGTTCTTGGGGTGGTTTTGAATGCTGTGGGCGCATACCGAGGCTCAGGAGATTGAATCTTTTTGTGAATCTCTCTGAATCATGTTGGGTGGTGTCATTGGCCTTGCGCTTCCCTAGAACGCCCTCCGATGGTTGTTGTGATGGTGGTGGTGGTGTTGCGGCGGGCGCGGAGGAGGAGGGAGTGGAATTGGGGAGAGCATCATTTCTCCACATCTTCTCGCCAATCTTTCCCTTTCTCCGGCATAATATTCGTCCCACCCTTTCCTTCCTCTCTGGTCATCAATTGATTGTCCTGTGCTGTACTGTATTGTATATTATGCGCGCGCGAGGCTCCGCTAGCGACGACACTCATTCCATCCTTGTGTGAAACGACTGGGTCATCTGCGGAGGGAGTTCCGATGATTATCGTGATAACGAAGGAGCGGTGTTATCTCGGACGGTGATAGCGCGCGCGCGAAAGGGAGGAAAAGAAGGCAAAGCTGTGTTTGTTGGTTCCACCAGCGAAAGAAAGAGGGTTTCGCATATATGCGGAGTCATACTTATCCTCCTCGCTGTGTGCTGCTGCTGTTGCGGCTGCTACCAAGACGATCCCCCCAGAACTTTCTACGCACAACTGGAAACACCTTCACCACCGCTGCCACCACTACCACCTCTTCTTCACATTTACACCGATCACGGAATACGGTGGGAATAGTCGCAGCAACAGCAGCAGCAGCAACAACAACTACTGTCCGCGCCTCATCGTCGCCGCCACTTCCACTGCCTCGACGACTGCAGCGGGGTATTTCTCCCGGGCGAATTTCAACGGCCTCAACAATGGCCGCCTCCACAACTGGCTCGACGCCTGAGTGGAGCGCTGTCAAGGTGCGACAGACATTCATCGAGTAAGTGGGAAATCATGTCCATCATTTCTTTTCGTTCCTCCTACGGGATCAATGGTCGTCATATTTGATTGCATTCCTTGCAACAAGGTCTGGACTGGCATGGCATATATGCGAATATGTCGAGATGTCCACGACACGAACATCGACTACGAAGACCATGCGAGCAAATTATCATAAGCCAAAAAGGAAGAACCAACCCATTGACAAGGAAATCGATAGCTACTTCAAGAAACATGAGCACACTTTCATCCCCAGTGGCAGCGTTGTGCCCCTCGCAGATCCCACTTTGCTCTTCACAAACGCGGGCATGAATCAATACAAGTCGATCTTCCTGGGGACCGTCGACCCCAGCTCGGATTTTGCCAAATTAAAACGTGCCGTCAATTCACAAAAGTGCATTCGTGCCGGTGGAAAGCACAACGATCTCGACGATGTCGGCAAAGACAGCTATCATCACACTTTCTTCGAAATGCTGGGGAACTGGTCATTCGGAGACTACTTCAAGAAGGAAGCCATCTTCTTTTCATGGGACCTCCTGACCAAGGTCTACGGACTCGACCCTGATCGGTTATATGTCACATATTTCGAAGGCAAAGCCGATGTCGGCCTCGAACCTGATACCGAGGCCTTGGAGTTCTGGAAAGCGTGTGGTGTACCTGAAGATCACATCTTGACGGGTGACATGAAAGACAACTTCTGGGAGATGGGTGACCAAGGCCCTTGCGGTCCCTGCTCTGAAATCCACTACGATCGTATTGGCGGACGCAACGCTGCCAACCTGGTCAACCAAGACGACCCAAACGTCATTGAGATCTGGAACAACGTCTTCATGCAGTACAACCGTGAACCAGATCGAAGTCTCAAGCCTCTCCCGAACAAGCACATTGACACTGGTATGGGTTTCGAACGACTAGTCTCAATTCTACAGAACAAACCGTCCAATTACGACACGGATGTCTTCACTCCCCTATTCGCGCGCATTCAGGAGATCACCGGGGTACGACCATATGCTGGCAAGTTCGGCGAGGAGGATGTCGATGGAATCGATACTGCCTACCGTGTCGTCGCCGACCACGTCCGACTTCTCACGTTCGCCATTGCAGATGGTGGTGTGCCCAACAACGTCGGTCGAGGATATGTCGTCCGTCGTGTGCTCCGACGTGGTGCCCGCTACGCTCGCAAATACTTCAACACCGAAATCGGAGATTTCTTCTCCAAGATCGTCCCTACGTTGGTCGACCAGATGGGTGACATGTTCCCGGAGATTCGCCGCAAACAATCCGACATCAAGGAGATCCTCGACGAAGAAGAGGTCAGCTTTGCAAAAACCCTCGACCGAGGCGAAACCATGTTCGAGAAGTATGCGGAAAAGTGCAAACAGAACGGAGAGGAGACTTTGGCCGGCGCTGATGTTTGGCGGCTGTACGATACGTATGGTTTCCCTGAGGATCTCACTCGCCTCATGGCCGAAGAGCGTGGTCTCTCCATCAAGGATGAGGATGTCCGCGCCGCTCAGGAGAAGGCACGCGACGCATCAAAGGGAGAGAAGAAGGCGGCTGCGGAATTAGTCAAGCTGAATGTTCACGACATCAATGCGCTTGAGCAAATGCCGGATGTTGTCAAGACTGACGACTCGGCCAAGTTTCAAAAGGCAAACATCGACGCAACTCTCAAGGCGATTTACCACAACGGTAAATTCATCCAGACCACTGCTGATATTCCTGAAGGAGAGCAATTTGGTGTGATCCTCGACAAGACCAACTTCTATGCTGAACAGGGTGGACAGGAGTACGACACTGGTCGGATTCTCATCGATGGTGAAGCCGAAATTGATGTTAAGAACGTGCAGGTCTATGGTGGATATGTCATGCACACCGGTTACATGAACTACGGCACCCTGAAAGTGGGCGACAAAGTCCTCTGCGATTATGACGAACTACGGAGACAGCCGATCCGCAACAACCACACTGGTACTCACATTCTCAATTTTGCCCTCAAAGAAGTCCTCGGCGATGAGGTCAACCAGAAGGGTTCGCTTGTCGCCCCTGAGAAGCTTCGTTTCGATTTCAGTCACAAAGCGGGCTGTACCGATGCTGAATTGGTAAAGATTGAAGAGATCAGCACCAGCTACATCCGGCAAAACAGCGAGGTCTACTCCAAAGAAGTTCCCTTGTCCCTCGCTCGGGAGATCCAGGGTGTTCGCGCTGTCTTCGGCGAGACCTACCCCGATCCCGTCCGCGTTGTCAGTGTCGGCGTCCCCGTCGAGGACCTCCTCGAAGACGTCCACCGACCGGAATGGAACAAAGTCTCGGTGGAATTCTGCGGCGGCACCCACGTCCGCAACACCACCGAAATCAAAGACCTCGTCATCCTCGAAGAGAGCGGCATCGCCAAAGGCATCCGCCGCATCATCGCCGTCACCGGCCAAACCGCCCACGCCGTGCAAGAAGAAGCCAAAATCTGGTCGGACCTCGCGACCACCCTCGAAAGCCTGCCCTACGGCGCCGAGAAGGAATCCCGGGTCAAAGAAGCCGCGGCGGCGCTGAACCGCCTCAGCATCTCCGCGCTCAGCAAGTCCGCGCTGCGCGAACGTTTCGCGACGCTCACGAAATCCAACCTCGACGAGCAAAAGAAATCGCAAAAGGCCGAAAACGCCCGGGTCCTCGCCCTCGTCAACGACCACTTCTCCGCCAACCCGACCGCCTCCACCCTCGTCCTCGGGCCCGTCCCCGTCTCCGCGGGAACCAAGGCGATCCAGGAAGCCCTCAAATTCATCGCCGCGAAACACAAAGAGAAGTCGGTCTATCTCCTCGGCACGACCTCCGACGGCGAGGAGAGGAAGGTCATCCACGGCTGTCACGTCTCCGCCGACGCCCAGGGCAAAGGCGCCGATGCGGCTGCTTGGGCGGGCGGTGTGGCGGAGATCGTCGGAGGCAAGGCGGGCGGGAAGGGAGCAACGAGTCTGGGACAGGGGCCCGAGGGAGGCAAGGCCGAGGAGGCGGTTGAGGTGGCGAGGAAGTATCTGGAGGGGTTGAAGATCTGATCTCGTTTTCTTCTTCTTGTTGTTCTTCTTCTTCCTTTCCTTCTTCGATCGTTTCTTCGATAGTTGACATGGGGCCTTTGCGAAGCCCAGGCAGGCAGGCAGGTCAGCCACGGTGCTTCTGCCTCTTTTTTTGTTTCGTCTTTCTCCCCCTGAAACGCACGTAGACCGTCACAAAGAGTGACGACGAGCGAGAATTCTGTAGAAGGCCTCGAACTGCAATATCAAATCATATGATGAATCCCGTCGACCGCACCTTGCACGCACATCCCATCCCCCCTCGCCCGCCGCCGGATCCAATCTCCCCTCGCGAGGAATTTTTCGGACAGAGTCCCAGGAGAGAGGGAGAAATGTCCCGAGACCCGATTCCGATGGCGACCGGCTGTTCTCATTTCCCCGGAGGAAGAGAAGAGAAAAGAAAAACAAAAGAGAATAAAAGTAAAGGAGAGGAGAGGAGAGGAGAGGAGATCAGGACTTCTGTCCGGAGCAGAAAACGGCGGCTTTTCCTTTCCCTGTTCCCTTTCTTCTGGGCCTGGGGATGTCTCTCCATCTCTCTCTCTCTCTCTCTCTCTCTCTCTCTCTCTCTCTCTCGCGCTCCCTTCCCCCCAAAGCGATACTAAAATGAACCTCTTTTACGGGATAGAGAGATATAGAATACAACCATCTATATATGCCGTAGACAGAGGTAGGGCGGAGAGAGAGAGAGAGAGAGAGCAGCGGCCTCCCTCCCGCTCTCTCACCATCCGTGTGGAAAGTTGACCGAGTCTGGATCTCGTCTCTTTCCGACTATCTCCGTTTTCACTTTTTCATGTTCGGTCTTTCGTCATGATTCGGTGGATAAGCTTCAGGTCAGGGGGACGGAGGGGAAATTGT